TAATTTATAAATAATTATAATAAATAAAAATTAAATTTTATAAGTAATTAAAAAACTCTTAAAAACTCTCTTACCTAAAAAAAATTAAAAATACTATCACAAAAAATTTGTATTTAATATATAAGAATTAATTTGAATAATTTTTTTAATTTCTAATTTGGCATATTGGGGACCATGACCATCTTTACGATTTTAAATTTATTAAGATTTTTATTAACGTCTAACGGGTCAAATCTGTTTTCACTTATTTAGACTCATATTAATTTTTTTTTATTAGCAGTCTAAAAGTTCACTAAAATCATATCACTTTTATTGACTCCAATTAAATATAAATAGCTAATATAAATTCTACAAATAATATATGTAGTACACATTAATTATTAAAAATAAAATTTTTAACACTTATCTCAAATTTAATTTCTCCAACCATTTTGCATGTATTGAGAGGAACATGCATGCTAGCCATTGATCATAGATAAAATTAATATTCGTGAGGTCATTAATAGTTTCAGCGACGACCACACATTAAGTCATAAGTTGGTTTCAATTCTTCCAATTTCAATTACTCCAATGCAGTCGCCCTCCTTCTAGAATCTTGTATTCTGCCCATTCCAAATATTACCATATTACCATCTGACTTGTATAATTAAATTTACATACGAGCTAAGTAACTTGTCATTCTTAATGTGCACGGCATGGTTTTAAATTGCGGTTACGGTCGCGGTTGTGGTTGCAGTTACTGTGGTTGCGGGTATTGCGAGTATTGCGGCTGTTGCGGTGTGAAATTATTAATTATTTTCACTAAATATAAAAAAATTATAATTAATATATATTTTATTTTTAAGGATTTATACATTTTAATTCCTTTTTTTTTTAAATATTTTATTATTTTAATGAATAATTTAATTTATTTTAAAATTATAGTATCAATTTATCGTATTGCAGATGTATTGCGGTACATTTCAGATGTGTTGCGGACGCAACACCGTTACGTTGCAGAAAAAGTGTATGATTTTCAGTCTTATCGCAATTGCGGTCTGATGCCGTTGCGGACAAGGCCGCAACAGCAATATTGCGGCCGCAACACTTGTTGCGGTCCGCAATTTAAAACCCTATGCACGATGAACATTGAAGCCAACCAAGAAGAAGAAAGGGCATTTTAGTCATAACATAGAAGCAATTAAGGTTGTGGTAGCGGTGTTCCTATATAAATTGAGGTCACACGCACTGTACTTGGCATGCAGTTGAAGGAAATATCTTGTTATATATATAAGCTTGGAACCTTCTTGGTTCTCTTGAGACGATGGCAGCGAGGGTTGAACGGAAGCCACTTAAAGCGCCGAAGAATTTGCTAGACGCAGTGTTCATGTTAGCAGATGCGATGAAGCACGCTGATCACATGGAGGTACGAGGCCGCTTTTCCTCACCATGCATGTAATTTCTACGTGTCACATGCAGTTGGATATGTATTTTTACCTCTTGTTAACCCTGCACTGAATTTTTGAAATGTAGGGTAAGAAAACAGTGGCAAGAGAATGCGGTGAAAGAAGCGATTGTGTACAACTGAAAGCCCCTGAAATTCTACAGATGTTACACGAGTTGAAGACATTGCTGACACGGACCATGCTTTTCACGACCAAAAAAGGGTTCGCTGCATTCGACGAGGAGGATGTGCTCCTAAGGAAGACAACAGCACGGGTATATATTTCATTTTTTATGTATAAAAATTGAATCAATATTTATGGATACATGTATTTAACTTAAAAAATACATTACAAAATTGTCATATAGTGATACACACTTAATATTGACATTATATATATCACTAAAAATTATTTTTACCCACACAATAACTATAATATATGTTGGTATATTAATAAAAAGTGTGGCTATAGACTATAGTGATACACAAAATATATTTTTAAATTTCCTTCAAAATCAACACTACAATTATGTGTAAATATATGTCAAATAAACATATACCTATATATATATTGTACCTATAATAACACTTTTTGTATGTGTAACATTTCTTGTAGTGATATTTTGATGCATGTGACCAGATTCTAAGGCCTGCTTTCATAGTTATACGTGATGAAAAATCAAAAAGTTTGATTGTGTTCATCCGAGGAACTCGTAGCCTGAGAGATATGTTGACAGATGCACTGTGTGCTCCCCTCTCCTTCGAACACATCATTTACAGCCATGGCAGTGAGCAAAGTGGGAACAAGAAGGTTTCAGGACATGCACACCGTGGTATGGTTGCTGCAGCTTTATGGGTTAAAAATCGTTGCATTCCTGTACTTCTTGATGCTCTTCAACTTCATCCCGACTTCAAAATCAAGGTACTACATTCTTGGAAAATTATACACTTCCTAATCTAACTTTTAAAATTCTACATTTTATCATTTAATATTTAAATTCTCGTACCTCTTGTATACACTACAACATCTTTCACATTTAAAAAATGTTACCAAAATAAGAAAAATGTCACCAATCATAATTAGCAACACTTTTACAAATGTAGTATAAAGTCCATGTTGCTAAAAGGTTTTAGCAACATTTTAACATACCAATTGTAACATTTTATAAATGTTACAAATTGACATCTTTTGTAACATTTTAGCATATTAGTTGTAACATTTTATAAATGTTGTCAATTGACAATTTCATTACATTTATGCTTAAAGGATTCTTATAGGGATAGTATTTTTACTTCTTGATATTTCCCACACATATTTGTTATTCGAGTAAATAGATAACTAATTGACATATGATTGGGACATTGTGGTATCTTGAGCATCTTTTTTTCTACCAATGATATTGTTATCCATAGCACACAAGCAACTCAAGAAAAAAGGTTTTGGTTAAATCGTTTGACATATTCCCTCATTTAGGCCCTTTCACCCTTATGAGTTGATACCTGAGACACCAAAGAAGGTTTATTTCTGTTTCTTTGTGATCATTCTAAATATTCCTCGTGAAACTCATAATAAATAATAAAGGAATGTTAACACATTCTCTCTAACACTCTTTATTATTGGTTGAAATTTGGTGAAATTTTGTATGTCCCGCATCTCATTTAATATGCCTCTCTCCTAATTTAGTGGTAGAATTTACTAAAATTTGTAATTTTCAACCAATAAAAGAGAGGATATTAGCAAGAGAGCATCACTATCATTTATCTAAATAATATTACTAAAACTTTGGTCTTTAATCGAACTGAATGACATTATATGATCCATATAGCCTACCTCACCTAATGGGTTAAGGTTTTGTTTTTGATATTGTATTCTAGACATCCCTCAGCAGGAATTCAAACAGAATGAATATAGCTTACTTGGTCAATGGTGGTAGCTGAGCATCCAGGTTATCTGAATAAGTTTCAGACTTTGGGATACGGTCATCAAGTGAAAAATCCATGAAAGCCAAACCATTTCCCTGAGTAACCCCTTCTGCATATAGAATATCCCTTTCCGAAGGTTCATATTCATTGCTAGATATCTCAACGGCCTGAAGGAAACAAGTATGTTATCCAGCTATACATGCCAATACCATCAAATTATCAAAGTTGAAAAGGCAAACCAAGCTAGCAAAATAATAACCCTTTCAATTGTAATATACAATAGACATAATCTTATAGTAACATCTATAATTGTTAATAATCAGAACTTGCTCATGTAAAGATTATTGGTGAATTTCATTACATTTATGCTTAAAGGATTCTTATAGGGATAGTATTTTTACTTCTTGATATTTCCCACACATATTTGTTATTCGAGTAAATAGATAACTAATTGACATATGATTGGGACATTGTGGTATCTTGAGCATCTTTTTTTCTACCAATGATATTGTTATCCATAGCACACAAGCAACTCAAGAAAAAAGGTTTTGGTTAAATCGTTTGACATATTCCCTCATTTAGGCCCTTTCACCCTTATGAGTTGATACCTGAGACACCAAAGAAGGTTTATTTCTGTTTCTTTGTGATCATTCTAAATATTCCTCGTGAAACTCATGCGAGTGTGTGTGGCTTCCGATCGTGAAGAATAAGAGAGCAGAATGAGAGATGAAAATAACAATCACAAAAATGGAACGTTGCCATTGCTATTGACTAAAAAGAACTCACCGAAATAGAACGTGGCCATAGCTTAGATAAGAGAAACAGGGAAGAACTCTGTATTCTTTTTCCTATCTTGGTGGAGAAACGCAACATATAACGTTTTTATCAAGTTTTTTATCAAGTTTTTTATTTAAGAATAATAAAATAGATTTTAAGTAAAAACAATAATTATTATGTAAAATTAGTAATTAAGTAAATAATAGTAAAGTCTATTATTAAAAATATTTAAAATATTGGATAAATTAATAATATTTACTATTTAGTGTTAGAAAGTCAAGAAAAAATATATAATGTAAATAAAATAATAACATTTATGATTAAAAATGTTACTAAAGAATATAATTCAAATGAATTGGTAACATTTATTGTTAAAAATGTTACAAAAATGTATAATTAAGAGAAATTAGTAACATTTTGTTACATGTTGGCACATAAATGTTACTAAATGTGATATATGTAGTAGTGATATAATAACATGTTAATCTCTTGCATTAAATGTTGATTGTTGACTTACATCGATGATGTTGCATATGGATTACATGATATAATATATGTAGTTAATAATCAACCTAATACGTTAACAATTACCTATATTATTAATGGAGTGAGAAAATATCTAATTTCGAAAGTTTTGTTACAAGATTTGTGAAATTTTTATGGAAAAAAGTACATTTAATTCTTTTTCTTGCTTAGAATGGATACAAGAGGATACTTTATTCTACTGAAGAAATAGATGACATTACATCAGCAACTAAATATTGGTCCAAAATTTGAGGGATGACCTCATCCATCCAGTAAACCTCTCTAAAATCAAAAGCGGAACCACCTAACCCTTTTTATAGTTAAATTTAGGTATTTCTTTTTTTTATTTCATGAAACCCTATGTTTGATTTTTTTTTTTATAATTATAATTTCCATATAGATTGTTGGACACCCGCTTGGTGGTGGTATTGCTGCACTGTTGACATATAAGCTTAGAGAAATACAGCAGTTCTCTTCAAGCACTTGCGTCACGTTTGGCCCAGGCATGTAGTTATTATACATCTAAAGTTTTAATTTGTTCAATTGAGTAACCAATTTCTGTATTATATAATTTAATCATTATAAGAGAATATGGAGAAGTGTGTTACGAAGCATTTCTCGTTAAACGACTGTTAGTGGCATATTTTATTCCTAAATAACCAACGGTTAACCACTATAATTAGTTTATTGTTATATTCTGTTTCAAACCATAAAAGTAAAACTTATAGTAAACCATTGTATATCCATATCTTTGTTGGGACAACATAAAGTATCTTTATATGTTAGGATGTTGTAATCTATCTAGACAGTGATATGAAATTTTAAATAAATATTAAATTACTATTATAAACATTGTGATCAGGTTTTATGTGTGTAAAATAAATGTGATTTAAATATTTAATAATAAAAAATCCACACAAAATTTCAAATGAAATAGTTGTCCTAATTAAAATAGGACGCATTGAAAGTAGAGAGAAGGAGAAAATAATATATATGATAAATGATGTAATGAAGAAGAAAAATATGGATAAAAAGAAAATGGGATGGAAATGAGAATGAAGAAAGAAAGTTCTAGTTGTGTATTTTAGTGTGAATATATATTGTACTTATCTTTTCCCAAATCTTGTCATAATCATCATTGTTAAGTCCATGTGTGACAATTGTTATTCATGCAGCTACTTATATGACATTGGAGTTAGCTAAATTTGGAAAGCCCTTTATCATTTCTGTTATAAATGGTTCTAACATGGTGCTTACATTGTCAGCTTCTTCTGCTCATGGCCTCATTTCTGAGGTGTTCAAACTAGTGACTAAGATGGCTGTTAGAAAATGATTAGTGTTTTTCATATGTTTCTTTATATTAATTTCTTAATTTCTGATGATGTTATATGTTAGAAAATGGTTCATTCTTTGTTCAAGTTGGCTTTCATTATATCATTTTGAATTAATTGAATAATTTACAGGATCGAACTAAGGATAAAACCACCACAAATACAATTCAATTATATATATCATGTAAAAACTAATTAAAAATCGTGATTTAAAATTACCTGATAATTTATCCGATGAAAGTATTAGTTATTATTGAAGTAAAAAACAACTTTAAAAAATTGAAGAAAATAATATTCCGTGTATGCCACAATAGTCGCAAAACATTAAACGACATGTGGTCTGGCTTCGGCGTGTCACTTGGCAGGCTGACTGTGAGGTTTGAGCTGATGCATGTTTCTACTCAGACCGAAAGCGATAACAATTTTTAACCATTCAAGCAATCATAACCGTGTTCTATTTGATTTATAGTTGTTCAGCACCATAGTATTTACTTTGCAGAACATGTTACGAATGCTGTGATGGTGAAAAGGGGAGCAATCGTGGTTGCTAACGCCAAACTCTAAAAGCAACTGGTGCTTTCATCAAGACTTAAAACTAAATGGCATTCAAAATCATTCTATTATTAATTTATGAAAACAACTTCGCAGTAGTACGAGTAACTGATGGACTGATGCAGACATATACAACCATTGAAAAAACAACATATCATTATTTTTTATAGTAATGACAGCATCAATTTTTTAAACCAAGATAATTTTTTTGGCACAATGGAACGCCACCTTCTATTTATGAATTTCATGATTTCTCAGGCAGCATAGTTTCACTAATTTAACCACGAATGGCTACAAAACTAAACTCTTAACGAAGCTCCCGAAATGAAATTCAATACCAATTAATTACAGCTTTTTCTTACACATCTTGCACGTCAACAAACTCATGAGGTAGATACCGAAAGATTCCTCCTCTTGAACATATTTAAAAACCCCAAGATTCAATAGATTCAAACACAAAATTATAGAGAAAATTTAACTCCTTCATCATCAGTTGAAGTTCCTTTAAAGACCACAAGCTTTCCCTTCTGTTCTAATAGTTTCAGTGCACGATTCAAAATAGTTCGATCTATTCCATGAAGCTCTGTGGAATATAAAAAATAATGAGTCAAAACAATTGCAAAGCCCAGCACGTAGGAAATAACTAAAATATATTAAGAAAAAGAGTATTCAATCTCCCTGAACTGTATGACATCTCTTTTTCTTTTATCGGTCAAAAATGGTAGAAAAGGATAAAACTACTATGACATATCTCTTTAGCATGTAAACACTTTAACTCGTCCTAATTAATCTTTAAATTATAGGAATTGTTCCAATGTCATTCTATTAACTAGGGATTAAATGATTACGTGAAAATATATATTTATAATACAAAGAGCCTAAAAAGTTTATAAACGGGGAAATAAAGAGAAGTGACAACACTCAAGGTGAAGTTAAACACTTCCCATTTCACGACGGGATAGGGGTCAATACTCGCAATAGGAAAATTTACTTAGCACCATAAGATGTTCCTTATAAGCAGGCAGGTTGCCATAGATGTCATCAAATTACACAAACTAGATTAAGTTATGCTACAAGAACACACAACGGAATTTTAATTCAGTGCATGAAGGAGTTTTAAATCTTTGTTTTAATATACGAACACCACGGGCCATTGTTAGTGGCATATAATAGTAACTAATGGATCACAGTCATATCAATAGCCTTGCTGGGTTCTGTGTGGTTCACTTCCCACACAGGGCAAAACAAGAACCGGTTACTGACACATGGGTAGGATGTAACCCAAGAACTATACACTACAAAACAAGTCAACTACAAGTGGGAATGCAACAAGTAAGCAAGGATAAAAGGTACTACATTATTCAAATGTTAATTAGAAATTAATAGCATAGTAACACGAACAATGAGAGAATAAACTATAAAACAAATTAACATTCTTTCCATCCTTTCAAAGCTTAAGGGAAAATCTTAGAATAATGGATTTAAGCCTAACTCAACCCTACAAAACCAGTTTGTAAAGTGAGGGTTGTTTTCCACTTATATACTATTTAATTGCCTAATCTCTAGTCGATGTGGACTTGTGTTTTTCCCAATACACCCCCCTCACGTCCAGCACTATTAGGCTTAGTACGTGGATAAATGGTAGGTAACCTTTTTTTAATAATCTAAGATTGACAGGACTTGAATACACCCCCTCATGCTCATGGTGCATGTATCAATGAATGGTAGATGGCTCATTTTTAAGAATCTAAGATAAGATAGCTCTGATACCATCTTAGAATAGTAGATTTAAGTCTAACTCAACCCTACAAAACCGGCTAGTAAAGTGAGGGTTGTTTTCCACTTATATACTATTTAATTGCCTAATCTCTAGTCGATGTGCGACTTAGATTTTTCCCAATAGAAAAGGTTGTCCTTTTTCTTTTTTTTGCTCTAATATTGAACTTAAATTTGATCTACTGTGAGCAAGACATTTTATGTTGTCAGTAAACAGAAAACTGTAATGTCATTGTAGTAGTAATCGAGCCAATATCTATTCAGGCAGCAATGGTGAAATAAGCAATACTAGTGAATGCATCTATTCCCTCAACCCAAGACTAAAACATTTCTCTGACTGGCTCCTTGACATTATAGCCACTGGGGATTTAGATGCATTCTTCCCTGCAGCCACACACGAATATGCACCCTTAGTTGAAGAAGTATGGAAGGATCCAGCAATACAAGAAACCTTCAAAAGAAAAATTGAGCTTCACTTTCTTCCAGATATTGCAGAATACTTCTTAAGCCGGGTAATTGCTCAACTGTCCTTGAAACTGTGTCCTTTTATTCAGTAAAAATTGTCGGGCATCTGATGTTTGCTAAATCTTCCCCTAGCCATCAGTTTTTGTTCTTGCTATTTTTTACTAATTTTATGTTCTGAGAAATTTGTTAATATTCCCAGCATTCTTTATCTGCATAACGAAATAGTCTAGTTGTCCAATTTCTGCTATCAACTTTGTATCTCTGCAATATCCATATTGTCTGCTATTTTTTTTTAGGATTTGTTGGAAATGAAAATAGTAGAACACATGGAGGTTTTAAGCATGAGTACCTGGGTTTGCTTGGTAGGAGCAAAAATGAAAAGGTTGTAATGGAGGGAAAATGAAGAACCAATTCAAGACTTGTTTCCTACTCATACCAAGAAACATGATTTTTCCTTCTTGTCCCCACTTGTCTTGAAATTATGGTCTTTTTATGTGATTTTTTTTGTCATTATTGGTTCTGATTATTAACAATTATAGATGTTACTATAAGATTATGTCTATTGTATATTACAATTGAAAGGGTTATTATTTTGCTAGCTTGGTTTGCCTTTTCAACTTTGATAATTTGATGGTATTGGCATGTATAGCTGGATAACATACTTGTTTCCTTCAGGCCGTTGAGATATCTAGCAATGAATATGAACCTTCGGAAAGGGATATTCTATATGCAGAAGGGGTTACTCAGGGAAATGGTTTGGCTTTCATGGATTTTTCACTTGATGACCGTATCCCAAAGTCTGAAACTTATTCAGATAACCTGGATGCCCAGCTACCACCATTGACCAAGTAAGCTATATTCATTCTGTTTGAATTCTTGTTGAGGGATGTCTAGAATACAATATCAAAAACAAAACCTTAACCCATTAGGTGAGGTAGGCTATATGGATCATACAATGTCATTCAGTTCGATTAAAGACCAAAGTTTTAGTAATATTATTTAGATAAATGATAGTGATGCTCTCTTGCTAATATCCTCTCTTTTATTGGTTGAAAATTACAAATTTTAGTAAATTCTACCACTAAATTAGGAGAGAGGCATATTAAATGAGATGCGGGACCTACAAAATTTCACCAAATTTCAACCAATAATAAAGAGTGTTAGAGAGAATGTGTTAACATTCCTTTATTATTTATTATGAGTTTCACGAGGAATATTTAGAATGATCACAAAGAAACAGAAATAAACCTTCTTTGGTGTCTCAGGTATCAACTCATAAGGGTGAAAGGGCCTAAATGAGGGAATATGTCAAACGATTTAACCAAAACCTTTTTTCTTGAGTTGCTTGTGTGCTATGGATAACAATATCATTGGTAGAAAAAAAGATGCTCAAGATACCACAATGTCCCAATCATATGTCAATTAGTTATCTATTTACTCGAATAACAAATATGTGTGGGAAATATCAAGAAGTAAAAATACTATCCCTATAAGAATCCTTTAAGCATAAATGTAATGAAATTCACCAATAATCTTTACATGAGCAAGTTCCATCTTTAAAATGGTGGAAGCGATTACGGTCTCTTACAGTGATTTCCCGTTCATAGATCACGGAAATGAACTTAGTGTACGTATGACAGTCGCTACACATCTTTAGATTTCTTGATATTCTTATGGGAGAACCCTCAAAGTTATATAATGGAAGCAATATGATGCCATTACAGGATTAACATAAAAGTTGGCCATGAATTAACATTGCCACAGATCTATACTCCGAAACAACACATTTGCAGCAGCTTAGATAAATCAGAAATCAACTCATGTTTATATATATGAACAATATTTATTGTAAACATTTTGTTACCTACTACCAGGAGCCACAAACTCAACTTAGTTTAATTTAATACCAGAAAAGTTACACATTTTTAACTCTTTCCAGTTTCCAGGTCAATCAGTAATAAAAAGAACACCGCAGATGTGTTGTCTGCCTTAACGAGATGAGACACTCAACCATTTTTTTAGGAAAGTAAATATTATAAGTCACAAAATTAGCAATCACACACTTTCTTTTTAGTTGTATAATCAAAGCATTCAATTGACATAACTTTTTAAACAGCTTTGATGATATGGTAAATCTCTTTAAATTTAGTCTCTTTAAACTGCTAGAGTTGCTCATAATTCAAATCTTGATCTTGGATAGAAATAGACTATGTTGAAAGGAAAATACATTATCCTTAAAATTTTTAGAAGAGATTAGTCACTGCTTCTAATACTTCATACTAATACTATGGTAACCCAAAATTGACAATGAACAAAATTAAATTCTTTAAATTTAGGGCTCATTTGGGGTAGTCACAAGTTTCCCCTTTTTGGTTTCCAAATACAAAATTCAAAAATAGAAGTGTTCGGTTAAAAGGAAACTAAATTGATTTTTAAATCAATTTTATATCAATTTTTGCTCAATTTTTAAAACAAAAAATAAGTAGTTTTTTATTGGTTAAATTATTTTTTTGGTCCAGTAAATATTATAAGTCACAAAATTAGCAATCACACAACACATTTTCTGAAGTAGCTTCTAACTTTATGGTACATTTAAAAATCTAGTCACAGAGGGTGGTATTCCACATCCAATTCAATTGGCTGTTCCACTGAGAATACACTTATTGTCTTCTCACAAATTTTGTAGGTCCCGCATCTCATTTAATATGCCTCTCTCCTAATTTAGTGGTAGAATTTACTAAAATTTGTAATTTTCAACCAATAAAAGAGAGGATATTAGCAAGAGAGCATCACTATCATTTATCTAAATAATATTACTAAAACTTTGGTCTTTAATCGAACTGAATGACATTGTATGATCCATATAGCCTACCTCACCTAATGGGTTAAGGTTTTGTTTTTGATATTGTATTCTAGACATCCCTCAACAAGAATTCAAACAGAATGAATATAGCTTACTTGGTCAATGGTGGTAGCTGAGCATCCAGGTTATCTGAATAAGTTTCAGACTTTGGGATACGGTCATCAAGTGAAAAATCCATGAAAGCCAAACCATTTCCCTGAGTAACCCCTTCTGCATATAGAATATCCCTTTCCGAAGGTTCATATTCATTGCTAGATATCTCAACGGCCTGAAGGAAACAAGTATGTTATCCAGCTATACATGCCAATACCATCAAATTATCAAAGCTGAAAAGGCAAACCAAGCTAGCAAAATAATAACCCTTTCAAATTGTAATATACAATAGACATAATCTTATAGTAACATCTATAATTGTTCATAATCAGAACCAATAATGACAAAAAAAATCACATAAAAAGACCATAATTTCAAGACAAGTGGGGACAAGAAGGAAAAATCAAGTTGCTTGGTAAGAGTAGGAAACAAGTCTTGAATTGGTTCTTCATTTTCCCTCCATTACAACCTTTTCATTTTTGCTCCTACCAAGCAAACCCAGGTACTCATGACTTAAAACCTCCATGTGTTCTACTATTTTCATTTCCAAAATATCCTAATAAAAAAAATAGCAGACAATATGGATATTGCAGAGATATAAAGTTGATAGCAGAAATTGGACAACTAGACTATTTTGTTATGCAAATAAAGAATGCTGGGAATATTAACAAATTTCTCAGAACATAAAATTAGTAAAAAATAGCAAGAACAAAAACTGATGGCTACGGGAAGATTTAGCAAACATCAGATGCCCGACAATTTTTACTGAATAAAAGGACACAGTTTCAAGGACAGTTGAGCAATTACCCGGCTTAAGAAGTATTCTGCAATATCTGGAAGAAAGTGAAGCTCAATTTTTCTTTTGAAGGTTTCTTGTATTGAACTAAAGAAGCATTTATTCACCAAAAAAAAACTGGCGGGGCATTTATTCACCTAAAAACACTAAAGGAGCATTTACGGGACTACTCAACTTCACATAAAATGACACAAAAGCAGGAATTTTGAGCTTACTTTCAATTACATGATTTGTAAATAGAGGAAATTCTTCTTCAAGTCCAATTACAAATATCTTCTGTGTTTTACAATAATCTAAAATAAGTTCTTTCCATAGTTGTATCTGCTTCTCTCTTGTGTCTCTTACAGGCTGCAAACTGAAAGGTAGAAACAAAGGTGAACCACTGGTTAACTACTACCTCACTCTCAATAATCTTATCAGTAACCCTAAGCAACGAACTTTGCAAACAAAAGAGGCAAAACAATTGAATCACACAACAATAATACAATATCACAAGCAACCTGATAAAATATCCAATGAAAGCAATAGGCAGGTCCCAGCAAATTTGACAACAAAGCATTTTTGTTATTCACGGAGGAAAATAAACGATCATATTGTTAGTTTGAAATCTAATAAATTACTTAGAAGAAAATTGATAACAAAGCACCATGAATGAAAAAGAAAAAAATTGCAAAGCATAAAAAAGCTAAAGACAAGGATAAAAAGGGAATTTACGTGAAGTAAGGTGGGTAATTGAAGAAATGTGGTAGTTTGAAGTCAACCAATTTCTGCATCTTTCAAGTGCTTCAATGCTATGCACAGAGATTAACGATCTTCTCAGAAGCTTAATAAATTTTCAGCTAATTACTTGCAGGCACGTAACGAAATATCGTAGCGTGTCATGCGATGCTGTTGATTTGGCGGCTAATTGGTGGAGGGATCGAGACGTTGATGTGAGTGAGGGTGAAGAAATGAAGGGAAACTGTAACTCTGCGAACCCTACCACGGTAACGAATAACGATGGAGGAAGAAGACCACCGATGCAGAAGCACAACGTTGCAAAAGAAACGACACCGTTTTGTACCCATGTGCACCTTTACAAGATTAAATAATAATAAGAAGAATAATAAAAGTTAACAAAATTATTATATTGTTAGTTCATTCTAATTAAATGTTATCATACAGTTGCAATACTAATTAAATGTAAAAATTACTTGAAATAACATTATTTTTTTTATCATAATAACATTATTTTTTTATCATATGAAATTGTAATCATGATGCAAGAATTTCATCTTAAAATAGTGTGTATATTATTTTAACTCTTACCATTAAATTGACTACAATAGTCAAAAGAAGATTGGTTAAAATATAGTTTGCAGTCTTTATAATTTTATTGACTTTATTTTTTAGTTTTTATAATTTAAAATATATTTTTAATAATGTATTTTTCTTTTTTAGACCTTTATATTTTATTAATTTTTTTAACATTATTTTCATATGAATCACATAAGTTTATTATATACATGTGATGATGGTGTATTTGATTTTGTAAATGATGATATATTACTTAATAGTTTAAGAGAGAGAAAAAATGAAAATTTTGTAGACAAACAATATTTATTATAATTAAAAAAATTTGTCAACAAAATAATAGATATTGTATATATGTTAAAAAGCATAAGTAATACTCAAATGTTTTGCAAGAATCATTCCATAACAATCCTATAGCATAGGAAGTATCAATGGTTACAACATATTTAGTAAATACCCCATATAGATATTGAGTAACCACCAAGTCCCACAACTTGTTATATATTAATATCCAGTTACATATATATATTTTTTTATATTATGATTGAATATTATACAGATATGATCAAATTCTTAATAGTTGCATAATAAATCATTAAGTAACATTTAAAAAATCAAATACATCATCATTACGTACGCAAATTTAATAAGATCACTTCACTAACAAGAAAGCAAAGTTATAAAAAAAGTTAACAGTAATAACTAAAAAAATTATAAAATATAAGTATAAAAATAAAAAAAATATCTATTTTATATTATAGAAACTAAAAGATAAAATTACGAAGACTAAAATTATGTTTAAAAAAAGTTTAACATGATATATACAAATTTGTTTAACAAATAATTTGCAAAAAAATTGTTAATGTTGAATGAAAAAAGAAACATTAGTTAATGAAATTAAGAAAAATAATAAATGTCCTTTAAATAAATAAGATAAAGATTACAATTTTATATAAAATGTTTTAAAGATATGTATCATGAAATGTCTTCTCAAAAGAAAAGTATCATAAAATATTAAAATTTGAAGAAAAGAAATTGTATAAAAATAACCATGTGAGAAAGAGAGCGTGTACAAAAATTATCTCACATTCAAGAATGAAAACTTTATTATATGGGATTGAACTCGTTGATTATGATATTTAGTCAAGTAAAAGATTACTTGTATTTTGATATGCCTAGATTTTTCTTAGTATTTCTCTATTATATTTGTTAAATAGCTTAACACATTAAAAAAAAAATCAATTACTCATTTTTAAGGTTGTTTGGAGAATAAAAAAAAATCTCATTTTCTTTATCTACGACGATGGAATATACAAAAATATTATATAAAAAAAAAGTTATACAAAATTATTCAACATAGTCCAATCTCATAAAATATTCATTTATCTCAATATATATTATAATTTTTTTAAAAAAATCTTTCTTCATGTTGAAACTTAAAAACTCTCTCAACAAATTTTATGACAAAACTTGAAAATTCTTGATACAAATTTAATAAAAAAAAATTTGATATACCTTCCTCACAAGTTATTTTATGACAAATGAAACTTGAAAACCTTTGAAACAAATTTTATGATGAAACTTGATAAACCTTTTTCTATATGAATCTTCTCTCATTTAAAAACATTGACCTCCTTTAAAGGTGGATGATTTTTAAGCATGTCAATAATTTATATTTATTGACCTAATGTTTTAAATTTAAAAGATGAAACAAATTTATAAAAATAGATAAATATATTTTAATTCTATTCAATATCTTCAAAGAAAAATAATATATTTTAAATCTAAATAATATTTTAGATATTATTTGAAAATTCGAATTCTTTTCTAAATATGTTAAAACCTCAAATACTCTTCTTCGTTTCATTCTGTACTATCATGTTTTATGTGAGGAATTCTTATCAAGTCCACAAAGAAAGATAAACACTTTAGACTTATGCATGAATACAAACTATTATATAAATGTACAAGTACTATAATAAAATAAAAGATTAACAAAATCTGAGTATTTGTATCATCCAGAGTCATAAACAAAGTGGTTTCTATTAAATGCAACACGCGGTATTGTTATTTGAGGGGTGGGAAGCCAAAAATTGAAAACAGTACAATAAGAAAGAAAGGTGCTTTTCCTTCATTTGCTATGTTTCTGAAAACCAAAAATTTCTGTTACTGTCTTCTATAGCCTAAAGAAACAAAAGTTACGTCAAATTTATCTACTAACTGACAACATCTTTGCTTATTCTTATTAACACTTATAAGTTTGGCATTATTGTCCTCGCACAGGTCAAATATGGAAAAAGTGAAATCCCATTATAAGGAGATTCATGAGGTGTTAGATGAATGATTCCATCAATAATCATCCACTCAACTCCAAGACAACAAAGTGACAAAAGAGAGTTATTGTATTCCTGATAATAGAGAGATAACTATATTTTCTTCACGAGACTATTATAAAACTGTTGTGAATGATTTGCAGCTGATGAGGACACTGCATGCTTCCTATAAAAATGGGACAAGTTTGAACTCGAGTACCACATCGTATAAGTAAATATAAAGAATAACACACTTTATGAGAATTTGTAAAAAAGAGTAGTACTTCAGTAAATATCTTTTTTTTTAAAAAAAAAAATTGAAATAAATTTTTCTATAAAAATATTGACATTAACTATATTAAAATTATCATTCTCAAAATCATTTTTTTTAATGAAATTCAAGACTTAAAATTTGATTTTAATACTAATTGATGTAACAAAAGTTGATACTAAAATTAGATTGTATGCATAAGTTATTTATTTATTTATTTTTAATTTTAAACAGATTGTGTCATATTGAGGATAAGGTTTATATATATTTTTTTGCTATAAAAGATATTTTGAAAAAGAAAAAAAAAAAAAAAGAGTATACATAGCAAAGATGGAAGTGTAAATAGCGAGGTCCAATATAAAGTTGGGCTTTGTGCGGGGAAAAAAAGAAGGAAAAGGATTAGGAAGCAGAAGAGAAACGATAAGGTTATAACTTATATTTGAAGTGATGGTTGGTTGAATTAGGAAGCATGGCGAAGAAGGGGAAGAAGCAATTGATGTCATCGGCGCCGTGGAGGGGCGACGACGCCGGCGAAGAGTTCAAAGATGCGAAGCTGAAAGTGACGAGCCAGGCTGACGGCACTTCAACCATGCACGTTCCTCGCTCCAAGTCCCATCATCATCACCATCACGAAGACGATTCCATCCAGATTGATCCTGAGCTACGCTACAGCTTCCAGCGCAATTTCCAGGTTTTTTCATTTCTCAACACTGCCACTAGTAACGATTTTTAATTATTGCCTCTCTCTGTTCTAATTCAAAATCAAAACCACATCGTTATCGACCATGAAAGGGGAATTATGTGTCCGGTAAGTAAATATGAAGAATTTTTAGAAGAAAAAGAATATGAATATAAATTGAAATATACTTTTTTAAATGTTAAAATTAACTTATGCATAAGATAAAAATAAGATTTTGAAAAAAAATTTGTTGGAGAGAGGATGTACAAATTGACATAAGTATAAGCTAATTTTAACTTCTCGATAATTTTATTTTATTTTTTCTTCGTGAAATATTTATTGAGAAATTTATCTAAAAAGACTCATAGATTCATGCTCTAGGACCTTAACTGACCATTATAAATTGCAAAACATCCAGGTTGGTTTTATTCTCTGATGCTACTCTTATGTTCACCATAGATGTGTTTCTGTTACATGCTAGTGCTACCCCTTTCTTATCATATTTACATATTAGTAGAAGAGAAATGTTAGTAACAGGTGTTGCTACACATGTAACACGCTCCTTTGGATACATTCTCTCTTATGAGTTGCAATTGAATAAACCATTAATTTGGTATTACACTCTCTCTCTCACTCTCTCTCAACTCAAGTAGTCTTTAATCTAATGAAAAATTATATAAGTAGTCATAAAAGTATTACCCAATGACTAATAGCATGTTTGAGAAGTCTATTGCTTCATTGCAAATTACTCATCATAAAGCATGAAATGGAGTACGTAGTATTTAGTGTTATCAGGAGAAAAACGTGGGTTTAGTTGGACGGAAGTGATAACCAAAACACACGACGGATCATTTCCTTCTTGTTTTGTGGAATTGATTTAGCATTAGTATTCTTCAAATTTTGGACTAATGTATTTTTCTGTATAATGCAGTTTCTTCAACGTGTTTTTAGCATTGACACTGTGGTCAAACCTCTTCCTCCTGTCATGGCATACAATGTCTCTCGCAACTTGAACTTCTTCACGCGCATTTTCACACAATTCTTTGGTATGTTACATTTCGTGCTCCTTTTTCCATTGCTGAGGATTGAATAGAATATAATATTTAGAACCAACCAAACTGTTCCAACTATTTTAAGCATTACTGTTCATTTTTTTAAAGAACAGAAATAAAAGGCCAAATGCATGCCCACCGTAATTCTCCCCTTCCTCACTTTCTAGTCTAGTTCTGAAATGTTTATGCTTCCTAGATATTTTTGTATCATGATGATGAAGCTAAGTCCTAGCCTTTGTTTGTTTATCTGATGCCAAGTGGAATGAAATTGGGTAGGATGAAATTAAATGTGGTAGAAGTGAGTAAAAATAACCAAATGGTCGTTTGGATATTTTATGATGTGATAGAAGTTTTCGTTCAATTATTTGGAAAGTGAACAAAATGATAAGTAATTAGTAAACAATAAGTTGATTCCATCTCATAATGCTTCCGAATTGGTGGAGAAAAATAAAGGCATCTTATTAAGTTTCATTTAGTTCCGCCTTATTTTAATTTTTAGCAACTCAAAGCAATGGCAATTAGTACCATTCTATTACCCAAGGTTGTCAATCTCGAGAGTTTACGTAATCTCGTGGAGGCTCCGTAAACTCATATCGTAAACTCGTCTCGTAAACTCGTAAGAGATTACTCAATAATAAATAAATAAATAAATAAATAAAAATAACATAATAATTGAATATTTTAACTCCCAAATAGCAAATTACATTAATAATAAATGTTCTTAACACAAATTTAAGATCAAAAGTTCACACAAATGACAAAACACAAGTTCTTAAAAATAGACAAATAAAAAACTAAGACATCACATGAGTAACGGAGGTGAGGAGCAGTGGTGCGGCGCGGAGGAGGTGTTGCGCTCGCGGTGGCGAGGCGCGCGGAGGAACGGAGGTGAGGAGCGGTGGTGTCGCGCGGAGGAGGTGTTGCGCGCGGAGGTGGTGTGCGCGGAGGAGGTGTGTCGCACGCAGAGGAGGTGTGTCGCGCGTGGAGGTGTGTCGCGCGCGGAGGTGTGTCGCGCAGAGGAGGTGTCGCGCGCGGAGGTGGTGTCGCGCAGAGGAGGTGGTTGAGGCGCGGAGGTGAGGAACGGAGGTCAGGAGCTGAGGTGAGGCGTGGAGAAGAGAAAAGAGTCGTGAAAGAGGCGCTGCGGAGGTTAGAGGAGAAAAGGAGACAAAGTGCCCTAACCCACAACACAAAAAGTGCGTTTTGTGTAAGTGAAAAAAAAAAATGGTGAACTCTTAATATCGGAGGTAGTCTCGCGAGTTTACACGAGTTTACCCGAGTTTACCGAGATTGCTCCGAGTTCACTAAAAAACGAGTTTACCTCCGAGTTGTACAGGTAAGCTCTTGTAAACTCGTAAACTCGTACGAGTTTACGAGTTGTCACTAGAGATTGACAACCATGCTATTACCTATTCTTCCAGTCAATCTCTTTCCATCAAAACCACTAGGTTGGCCTGTGGTGAGAAAGAAGTAGATGCATCAGGACTTATTGATTCTTATTATTGTTATTGTAATATTTTCTAATAAATCTCTTTCCATCAATTAAAACATTAGGAGTACTAGCAATGCTCTCCTTTTAATACACTCTATTATTAGTTAAATTTTAGTGGAGATTACAAAACATGAGTGAGACTCATTAAATTAGGGGAGAAACTTACAAAATCTTATGATTTTCAATAGATTCCAATCAATAATACAAAGGTGTGTTAGAAAGTATATCGTTAGCATTTCTCTTCAAACATAGGTTCACTTAATCAAATATTTTCTCCTTTGCTCTTAGCAAAGCCTTCAATCCTTTATTCTGTGCTAACCTTTACTACTTTATATGTGCACAGCAGTCTCAAACCATTTTGCCCTTTCTCTTTCATTATACATTATATATCCTTCTAAATTGGTTGAGTTTGTCTATGTTTTATTTGGCATTTGACTGATCATATTAATGTGTATGATCTATGATAGTCAAAAAGCTATCGGTGGTAATTCTGCGTTCTTCACTGGATTAGTATTTCATTTTGTTTATTTTGGAAAGCGGGTATTTGTTAATCTTTGATGTTGCCCCGTTTTTATTAATATGGTGTATGTTGCAGATCCCGAAGGTATTGCAAATGCCCAGAAATCCTTGGGCATTGGACAGGAAGATAAAGTTCGCAAAGTTCGTTGAAGACACAAAAGGAATGGGAATTGAAAAGGGAAAGAACTTGGTAGAGGAATAGACTTGTCATTTATGATTAACCTTTTCCTGTTTGATCACTCGTGATATCATTTACCTTGTTTGTTATCCATTTCAATTATATATGAGATTACAAATTGAGCAGCATGCGTGACAATTTGATTATTTCATTATCTTAACCAAAGCAAGACCCTAGAGGGAGTGCCAGTAACATGTTTTTTAACATAGTCTTTCTAACACGTTAATTTTTTTTTTAAAACTACATAAGTTTTAAATATGACTACATAAGTTTGTGATAAACCTTGTATCTAAGGTGCCTGCAGAAAACAAGGAAATAATAGAGAAAGAAGAAGAATAGTTAATGGACAAGTCAGAGAAGAAACATGCTAAAGCCTCTGAATAGAAAGGCTGAAAAATTAATCGATGCATTGATAATGAATATTATATTTTTTTTGTTTTTTTTTGCCAAATGTTGTTTTATCATGCATTCGAAGGATCATTGGGACTTTTTTTCGGAACGTATAACATCTCTCTTCAGAGAAAGGTTCTCGAGTCCAAATTCTATTTTCAAATCTGACATAATCCCCTACAAATGATTCCCCAATCCCAATAAACATAATCACACCACACTACTTCTCTATTAGGCCCCATACTGTTTGGCTTTCGGTGATATGTCTTGAAAGGCTTATCCCATTTAGAAGGTATATTTATATTCCTATCAATTTGTGATTTTATAATAAACTTTAGTCGATAATAAAGAGTCTCTTAAAGAAAATATTGTTATCCTTTCTCTCTTAGAGAATACTGATAGGAGCTCCGATCTAATATAATTTTAGTAGTTAGTTATTGTTGAAATTCTCTATTAATGTTAATGAAATACTATTATCGGTTAAAAAATGGACGAATTTATCATTAATTATCTTCTCTTTTTGTTGGGAGATTATCTTGCTCGTATATCTGGTATTTTTCACTTTTTTTTAACACTTATAAAGGATAGTTTTACATTAGTAGGATAAAATTGTGAGGATTAAGTATGATCTTAACGATGTTTTCCAAACACTACATCACAATATAAACAATTACGTATACTTAAAAGCAATCAAGTTAATAAAACATTTTTAAATGTTAATTTTAAGAATTTAAACTAGCATTAGAAGGAAAGACTACAGTTGAAAAAATAAGAGCTTGATTATGAATTTAGAAACTCTATAAACTAATAAATTATCTTTGATTTTATTATTTTGATCTTAATTTTTTTTACTGGGTAAATTATTTATATTTGTTACTTGTTATTGTTTTCGACATGGCATAAATTCAGTCGCAACTAATTAATAGTCAAAATTGTATTGATGTATAATTTATTTAGAAAAAAAATTAATAAAAAAATAAAATAACATAAAAACGTATGATAGGAGATTGAACTGTGCAGTTTTTTTTTGCTAAACTGCAGATGATCCCTATCCTATTCGGACACAAGTAACTTAATTTGAAGGCTTAATTGTATTTTTGATCCCTCACGTATTGCAATTATGCAATTTTGATTCTCAAAATTTTATGTGAGTAATTTTAGTCTTTAAAAGATTGTAATTGTGTGATTTTAGTCCCTTAATTTTTAATCGAACAGTTTTAGTCCCTCAACTATTATTATTGTGCGATTTTAGTCTTTTATATTAAAAATTTAGTAATTTTAAAATTTATATATATAATATTTTAAAATTATATAATTGTTTACTTATTTAAATTAACGTATTTTATAATTTTTGTTAATATATCAAATAACATATATTTATTATTACTATATAAATAAAATTTATATATGACTAGTATTTAATATTATTGATAAATTAATATCAATAATATTTTTAGTATATTTATAAATAAACTAATAATTTATTAAATATGACTTAGTATATATTAATAGTTTATCTATAAATATACTAATAATATTATTGATATTAATTTATCAGTAATATTATAAAAATAAATAATAAATATATATCATTTGATACATTAAAAAAAATTATAATATGCATTAACTTTAATAGATAAATAATTGTATAATTTTAAAACATTGTGTATATATACATATATATATATATATATATATTAAAATTATTACATTTTTAATGGGAGAGATTAAAATCGGATAATTATGATATTTGAGGAATTCAATTAAAAATTAAAGGACCAAAAAATCCCACAATTATAATTCTTTAAGGACTAAAATTATCTAATTAAAATTTTGGGATCAAAATTACATAATTGTAATATTTGAGGGATAAAAACGTAATTAAGCTTAATTTGAAGGAAAGTTATGGTTGACATCTAATTTTTCATTGAGTTGATTTTCACACAATGCAACAATACACCAAAGAGATGGACATTGATTTTCTCACATCCCTTTTTTTAATCTTGTCACCCTTTATTTATATATATTCTTTAATTAAATTCATGTTAACCGATAATACTTATAGTTTATACAGTTCGATATTTCACTAAGTACTTGTGTAGTGTTTGACTAGCTTGGTTGATTTTTTTTAGCATTCACCACTCGAGCCTTGCTTTCAAAATAGGACCCTCTTTTTCTTTTTGTATATATATAGAAAATGCTTGAAAATTTCGTTCTAATTAGAAGGCATAGCATGGCGTAGTCATTGTGTACATGGAAAATGTTTGAAAATTTCGTACTTCTCACCCTCAAAGTACAAACTTTTAGTCCTTCTGTAAAACATATCAACAAAGAGTAAGGACATTTTCCATGGTACACTTCTCTAGCACATTCTCGAGGTATTAAAAAAATATTCTTCACTTGCACTATCCTGCGTGTGAATGGAAAAGTATACCATTTTTTTTTTCCATTAACGCGCAAAGTTTTATTAGCTTTTGAATAAAAATTAAAGATGACACATCAGAGATCCATGAACCCCTTGTCCTTATTAATTATTATATTTAAGACTGGACAGTCTTTGACTTTTCTGCCGATACCAATCAATTTTGCATTTATAATATGATTTGGTTCCCTCTAAGTTTATTGTCCTACCTTCTTGGTCTACAATAAAGACCAACATGCTCGTTGGATTCATGGAGCAAGTTCCAATATCCTTATTTTAGTCAAACATAGAGCCATCATCCCGACAACTTGACACCTAAGGAAAGCGCCAGTTTATATACAATTTCTGAGTAAATCACCTTCTGAGTATGATTGCTGTGTGTCAATTCTTTCAAAGAAAAGACACGCAAAGGTTTCTTGCTCCTTAGGTACTTCAGCATATTCGTATGGTTCTAATTTTAGACCCTGAAAGACGTTATTTTTTGTCATTATAATTAACAATATGGTTAGGAGTTCCAACTTCACCTCTAGAATTTCCTTGTTTCATTTTAGCAGTGTTATGAGGTGTTAATTTTTTTCACCCAAAAATCTAACCTTAATCTTTAATCACACTATGTTTCACTAACGATATACCTAAACCCTGAGTGACTGGTAACGTTCTTTTTGTATTTTGTGGCATATGCAAATGGTTCCATTCCCCTTCAGGAAAGCCTCTTTTTTTTTTCTTTTTTTTTCTTTTTTTTTTTTTTAAATACCAATAGACAAACCTGTCTTACCAAAACTAATTCTTTTCAAAAAAAAAAAGGAATCACTTACCAAATATTTAATGCATTAATCAAGAAACACACCAGATAACCAGCTTCTAAATAGAAGTTGCATTCCGGTAAGGAATATCATTTTAATATCCTTCCGCGTTTCTTCCTAATACATTATCAAACTAAAAGTAAGTCAACAATTTTATTTATTGATTTTATTTTCAGAAATATTTTAAGATAAGTTTTAAGCTTTTAGCTGAACTTAACATATTTTAAGATAACTTTTGGGCTTTACTTATACTTCTTTATGTTTCCTTTTCATACACGTTAACAGTTATCTACTTGTGATGCTGCCATATCTCAATTTTGAGAGGAAAAAAGTCTTGAATCTCTATCTGCTATATCATTTGTAAATCCTAACATATTAATAAAATGGACTATAAGAAACAACGAGGCAAGGCTTTTCCTATAGCTAACAAGTCTGAAATCTAAGTCTCTTTCTACTAGACTGGTTTAGAAATGCATAGAGCATGGCAGAGAGTGCTGTAGGTTTTCTTCTCGAAAGGCTTGCACCTGTTTTTGATAATAAGGTGACATTGTTCGGAGAGGTTCAAGCAGAAGTGCTATGTCTAAAAGGACGGTTGGAGCTGATAAAAGCCTTCTTAAGGGCAGCAGATGCATTAGAAGAGAGTGATGAGGAACTCAAAGTTTGGGTTAAGCAAGTCAGAGATGTTGCTCACGAGGCTGAAGATCTTCTTGATGAATTGGAACTTGTCCAGGTAAATAACCATGCAAATGGATTATCTATTTATCTCCGAGTCAGGAACATGAAAGCTCGTTATCGGATTGCTCATGAGTTAAAAAGCATCAACTCACGCATGAAAACTATTTCTTCAACTGACAAGAGATTCCTCAGTAAGCTTCACACACCTTCAGAGGCTTCAAGTTCCAATTATACAGGTACTACCAACTGCAAAGACTCTTTTCAAGATTAACCGATGAATATCCTAATTGTCATGTAAACTATATAGGGGAACCATTCAATTATGCTATTTTCGTTCTTTTTTCCTATTTTCTAGCTAAGTGATAGTTGTAATCAGTAAATTGCTGCTGGTCCAATTGAAGCACTTATACACTAATCACACCATTTCTTGCTGAGTTTTTTTTTCCTTATTCTTTCATTTGACTATTAAAAGAAAAGGGGAAAAAAAGGAATACAGATCAATCTGCAGATATTTCACTAATTTTTTTTATATGCTAAGTATCTACTGCTTGGTTAGTGAGTCACCCTAGATAAATTCTCTCATTCCAATCACATTTTTTTCCAACCATGAGATTTGAACTCAAAATCTTAAGTGGGTCAAGTTCAGTTTGACTCAAATCAACAGCAAGATATTTGACTATTTAAGTCTAGAATTTGAAAGCTTCAAGTAATAACAATTTGAACACCTCCAATTGGCGACCGTGTTTACCTCTCCTCTTATAGCATCGATGGTATTTGTTTTGCTATTTACACACTACACTATTCTCACTTGTGAGACTAGTACAATAAAGTGAATAAACATATTCTGAAACAGGAGCATGGCATGATCAACGAGGAGATGCCCTTCTCCTGGACAACACTGATCTAGTAGGCATAGACAGGCCAAAAAAGAAGTTGATAGGGTGGTTGATGAAGGGTTGTCCAGGACGGAAAGTAATTTCTGTTACCGGAATGGGAGGGATGGGAAAAACAACTTTGGTGAAGCAAGCATATGATGATCCAGAAGTAAGAAAACACTTCAAAGCCTGTGTTTGGGTTACTGTTTCTCAATCTTGTAAAGTTGAGGAGCTTCTCAGAGACTTGGCCCAGAAGCTTTTTTCCGAAATAAGGAGACCAATTCCAGAGGGACTGGAAAGCATGTGTAGTGATAAGCTGAAGATGATTATTAAAGATCTGCTGCAGAGGAAGAAATATCTTGTAGTATTTGACGATGTTTGGCATATGTATGAATGGGAAGCTGTCAAATATGCATTGCCTAACAATAATTGTGGCAGCAGGATCATGATCACCACACGCAAATCTGATTTAGCCTCTATTTCCAGCATAGAATCCAATGGTAAGGTGTATAACTTGCACCCCTTGAAGGAAGATGAGGCTTGGGATCTGTTTTGTAGGAACACTTTTCAGGGTCATTCATGCCCCTCATATTTGATGGATATCTGTAAATATATCTTAAGAAAATGTGGGGGTCTTCCCCTTGCAATTGTGGCAATCAGTGGTGTCCTAGCTACAAAAGACAAGCGCAGGATAGATGAGTGGGATATGATTTGCCGTAGCCTTGGAGCTGAAATTCAAGGCAACGGCAAACTTGATAATTTTAAAACAGTATTTAACCTCAGTTTCAATGATTTGCCTTACCATTTGAAATACTGTTTCTTGTACTTGAGCATTTTTCCTGAGGACTATTTGATTCAGCGCATGAGAGTGATTCGCTTATGGATAGCAGAAGGATTTATTGAAGCCAAAGAAGGAAAAACAATGGAAGATGTTGCAAATGATTACCTCAAGGAGCTCCTGAACAGAAACTTAATACAAGTAGCAGAGACAACATCTGATGGAAGGGTCAAAACATTGCGAATCCATGATCTTCTACGGGAGATCATCATCTTGAAGTCCAAGGACCAAAACTTTGCATCCATTGTCAAAGAACAAAGTGTGGCATGGCCGGAAAAGATTAGGCGCCTTTCAGTGCATGGCAGGTTACCATATCGGCAGCAGCATAGGTCGGCCTCTCAACTCCGTTCTCTCTTTATGTTTGGTGTTGTAGAAAATTTGTCCCTTGGCAAACTGTTTCCAGAAGGTTTTAAACTTCTTGGTGTTTTAGATTATCAAGATACACCTTTGAAGAAGTTTCCTGTAGCAGTTGTTGATCAATATCATTTAAGATATCTAAGCTTAAGGAATACAAAGGTGAAAATGGTTCCAAGTCATATAATAGGAAAGTTGCATAATCTAGAAACACTGGATCTTAAGGAGACTTGTGTCAGAGAATTGCCTGTAGATATACTAAAGCTTCAAAAGCTTCGCCATCTCCTTGTCTATCGGTCTAAAGTCAAAGGCTATGCACAGTTCTACTCCAAACATGGTTTTAAGGCCCCCACTGAAATAGGAAATTTACAGTCACTACAAAAGCTTTGTTTTGTGGAGGCAAACCATGACTGTGGCATGATAATAAGGCAGTTGGGGAAGCTAAGTCAACTGAGAAGGTTAGGCATCTTGAAACTTAGAGAGGAAGATGGGAAGGCTTTCTGTTTATCCATTGAGAGATTAACTAACCTTCATGCCCTCTCTGTAACTTCTGAGGGTGAGAATAAGGTCATTGATCTGACATTCCTTTCTTCACCCCCTCCATTTCTTCAACGTTTGTATTTGTCAGGGTGTCTACAAGAGTTACCAAGTTGGATACAGTCTCTTCATAGCCTGACCAGGTTATTCCTGAAATGGAGCTGTTTAAAATATGATCCACTAGTGTATCTGCAGGATCTGCCAAACCTTGCACATCTTGAACTACTTCAAGTTTATGATGGTGACACACTGCATTTTAGGTGTGGAAAGTTCAAGAAGCTCAAGGTTTTAGGCCTTGGCAAATTTGATGGACTCAAACAGGTGATAGTGGGGAAGGATGCAATGCCTTGCCTAGAAAGGCTGAGCATTGGTCGTTGTGAATTGTTGAAGAAAGTGCCATCAGGTATTGAGCACTTGACTAAGCTCAAAGTCCTTGAGTTTTTTGATATGCCAGATGAACTGATCAAGACAATATGTCCACATGGTCCAGGAAAAGATCACTTCAAAGTCTCACATATTCCAGATGTTTACTCTACTTACTGGAGAGATGGTGGTTGGGATGTTTATTCTGTAGACAGTTTCAGCAGAGATTGTTGTCCCCGATCTGGCACTGTCATGAGAAGTCATGAACCCCGCATTCAGTGGAAGCTGTAGCTCTAAATTGTGGGATAATAAAACAACAAAACTTTCTGTATGTTGTTTTCTACTCAAAATTAAAGTTTCACCTTAATAATCTATGCGCATATTTAATGTGTGGGTTATCAAGGTGATATCTAAATTAGAGTACAACAACTAAATCACATTAGTTACCCCAAGTCCATAAAATGTGAATAGCAATTTATGTACATTACCTAAACTGTACTTTAAATAAAGGTGTAGGTTTATATTCACCTTTGTTTAAATTGATCAATGTAAATAGTATAATCACCATTGTTAAATAGACTAATTGTATTATATAATTCATCCTAAAGTACATATCCAAATCCCTATTCTTTTACAGATATAGTGTGTTATCATCGATGAACTCTTAATCCAGATAGAGGACACAACAAAACCTTTTGTTTCCATATCCTTGATGGCAATTACAGTATAACAGAGGCCATTACAATATCCTAATGCAATATAGAATCGAATAACCAAAACGTTTTCTGTTTGATATTATACACGTATTATTATTTGAAAAGTTTTAAAGTATCATATAAGAATTTTAAAATAGAGATAAATTCATTTAATTATTATATTGGTTGTTGAAGTTAATTTTAAGAAAAATAATTTGTTTAAAGTATTCTAAAAGATGCATTTAATTAATATTTCTTTAGTTTATATTAAAATTAAATATATAAATTAAACGTATTTATACTTGAAGAGTTATCATGTCTAAACGTTTTAAAAGTTATCATGTGTAAACGTATTTCTTTAATTTATTTAGTAAACTTTTTTTTTTAATTTGAAAAGTATTATATTAGCATTTAAATAGTATTTTTTTAATTGATACTAGAATTGAATATATAAGTTAAACATTTATATTTAATTAATATTTTATAGGTTTTTTTATTGTAAAGTTAAATTTTATTTAAGTATAATTTGAAATTATTATATCAGAAATGTAAAATAAACATAGATGGTTTTTTTAATTGTTTGAAGTATTATATTTGATGAATTTAATTAATATATTTTTAATTGATATTAGAAATAAATATATAAATTTAACATATTTATACTTAAATTTTCTTGTAAACGTTTAAATTTCAAAAGTTAACTTTTATTTAATTATAGTTTTAAATTATTATATAAGAATTTTAAAATAAATATCGATGCATTTTATTAGTATATTGGTGGTTGTAGTTAATTTAAAGAAAATTCATTTGTGTTATTATTTGTTTGTATTATTAATTTATTGAACTCGTCATTTTAATTAATTAATAATATAATTTATTTTTAAATTTTATTAGTAATTTATGTTTGATCACATAATTTAATTTATTAATAACGTAATTTTTGTTTCATGATATTAAATAATTAATGTTTGAATTTGATTTTTTGTTATTTTTGTAGTATGTCTCGATAAATAAGACATCATGAACCGC